TGATAATCTTCTTGGATCGCTAATTCCTTACAACCAAGTAGTGATATAAACATAGATTGATGCAGTTGATAAGAAGATGGAGAAAAATATCACATTGATCAGTCTCAGTCTGAGGATGAAGATGATATTGCCTTAATAATAAGACAATTCAAAAGTTTCTTTAATAGAAAGCAAAGGAGATGTGAAAAGTTGAATAAAGGTAAGTTCCACAAAAATGCAAAAATGTCTAATAAAGTAATTTTTTATGAATGCAGGAAGCCTGGACATATGAAATTTTATTACCAAAATCTCAAAGCTAATCATAGTAAGAAGAAAGTGTAAGATAAAACCAATGTAATGAAGGGAAAGAAGAGGTTGTAGAGAGCATTTTGGCCGGACTCAACATTTGATTCTTCAAAAATAGAAGTAGATTAGGAAGTCCCAAACTTGTGCTTAATGCCAGACAATCTTGATCACTCAGATCAAGAAGAGAAACACTCTCATGAAATACCTTGTGAGAGAATTTGGTACCTGGATAGAAAATGTTTGAAGCATATGTCTGGAGAAAAAATATAATTCGTATTATTGGAAGCCATGAATGGAGCCAAGGTAACACTGGGAAACTATACCAAAAGGAAAGTGGTAGGTACAAGTATGATTGGCAACAAGAATACTATTTTTTTATTGAAAATGTATTTTTGGTAGAAGGCTTAAAGTATAACTCGTTAAGTATTAGTCAACTTTTTTTATAAATGTTATAGTGTTAAATTCTTCCCACAAGCTGCACTATAAGCCAAAATGGAATTAATATATTACATGGAAATAAGGTAAATAACTTATACAAGCATGATTTGAATTATGTTAAATCTTCTAATGCTTTTTATCTCAAAATAACTACTGATGAATCTTAGCTATGTCATAGAAGACTTTGTCATGCAAGTATGAAAAACCATAGGAAGATTACCCATAAAGAATTTGGTTAGAGGGATACCTAAATAAGACTTCACTAAAAATCACTTGTGTCATGCAAGTGACCAAAGAAACATGTTAAGTCCTCATTTTATTGAATTAAGCATCTTAGAACTAGCAAACTACTGGAAGTCCTACACATGGATCTTTTTGGACCAGCTAGCACTGTAAGTCTAGGAGTTAAAGTTTATGAGTTTATATTTGTTGATGATTTTTCAAGACTCACATGGGTTAATTTTTATTTTTTTCATAAGAGTGAATCATTTGATGAGTTTAAAAGTTTTTCTACTTGGATTCAAAGAATGGTAGGATGTCAAATTTTATCAATTCAAAGTGATCATGGAGGAGAATTTAAAAAAATTGAAGATTTTTATAAAAAGAAAGGAATTGATGACAACTTTTCAGCACTTAGGATCATTCAGTAGAATGGGAAAGTGGAAATAAAGAATAGCATAGTGATAAAAGCTGCTAGAGTCATGTTGGCTGAATATTCATTTTCCAAATATTTTTGGGTTGAAGGGGTTTGTATGACTTGTTATATTTTGAATAGGGTGAAAATTAAAGCCAAATTGAACAAGACACCCTATGAAGTCCTTAATGGTAGGGCATCAAATCTTTAACTTTAGCATGTTTTTCGATACAAGGTCTTCATTCAAAATATTGGCAAAAATCCTATAGAAAAATTTAATCCTAAATCAGTTGATGGAATTTTCTAGGATATTCAAGTGTTGGCAAATCCTATAAGCTTTTTAATAAGAGAACTTTGGGAGTTGAGGAGACCACACTTACAGTTTTTAATAAATTTAGCATTTTGGAAGAGCCAATGTTGGAAGAAGATCATATTAAAAAATATCTCCCAAGGAATTGAAAAGAGAAATTTGGAAGAAAATGTTGGAACTGAAAACCGTTTGCTTTGAGAATGAAAATTTTCTAAGAGTAACCCTAAGGAATTGATTTTAGGTGAACCTAGTGAGGGTAGGCATGGACTTAACAAAGAAGTGAATCATTTTTCCTTTATATTAATGATTAAACCCACTAATACAAATCAAGCACTCTTGAATGAATTTTGAATTTTTTTCATGCAGGAAGAATTGAATCCATTTGTTAGAAATGATATTTAGGAATTGATTGAAAGGCCTAAGGATCAAAGTGTTGTTGGAACTAAGTGGGTATTAAAAATTAAAATGAATGATTAAGGCATTGTGATTAGAAAAAAGACAAGATTGTTGGCTAAGGGGTATAATCAAATTAAAAGAATTGATTTTAAAGAAACTCTTTCCCTTGTAGCCAGACTTGAACCGATAAGAGTTTTGCTAGCCCTTGCCTATTTTAAAGGTTTTAAATTGAATCAAATGAATATTAAGAGTGCCTTTCTTAATGGGGTCATACAATATCTTGTTTATGTTGAGCAACCTTCTAGTTTTAAAAATTCTAAATTCCTTAATCATGTGTTAAAATTGAAAAAGGCATTATATGCACCAAAACAAGCACCTAGTACTTTGTATGAGAGGTTAAGCGCTTTCCTATTAAAAAGGTCATTTATGAATGGAAGTATGGACGTCACTTTATTTTTGATATGGATAGGAGATGACAAACTCATTGATTAAATATATGTTGATGATATATTATTTGGATCTATAAATAAAAATCTTTGAGATGTTTTTCAAAAATATTGAGTAGTGAATTTGGAATGAGTCTGATGGGTGATTTAGGTTATTTTCTTGGTTTTAGCATAAAGAAAAATGAGGAAGGAACTTTTCTTAGTCAGTCAAAGTATATTAAGGATATCCTCAATAAATATGAAATGGATAATATTAAATTAGTGACTATACCAATGAGTTCCTTAGTACAATTATATAAGGACTCTAATGGAAAATTTTTTAGTCAAAAGAAATTTAGAAGAAATAATTATATTTTTGCTTTACTTGACTGTTAGTAGACCAGATATCATATTTAGTGTTTATTTATGTGCTAGATTTTAATGTGATCCAAAGGAATGACATTTGACAGTAGTTAAAAGAATTATAATATATCTTTTGGGAACTCAAAACTTAGGGATTTTGTATCCTAAGCACATCTCTTCTTTTAAAATCATTAGATATTCTTATTTAGATTTTGTAGGATGTAGGGTTGATTAGAAAAATTCTTTTGGAACTTATCAATTCAATGGAATCTCTTTAGTTTCCTAGTCTAGTAGAAAATAGAATTCAGTATCCCTTTCTACTTCTGATGCATAATATATTTCCTTAGGTAGTTGTGTCGCACAAGTTCTTTGGTTAAAACGATAACTATTTGACTTAGGATATTTTATTGCCACTATTTCAACTTTTTTATAATACAAGTGTCATATGCATTTCAAAGAATCCTATTTAACATTCTAGAACCAAATATATTTATATGAAACATACTTCATTTGAGATCATGTGGCTAAGGGAGAAATTGAATTGTACCATGTTGTTATTGAGAATCAAGTTGTAGACATTTTCACAAAACCACTAGATTTTGACACATTTAGAATCTTAATAACCAAATTAGGTTTGATTGATATTAATGCATGAATTGATATCTACAAATTTGATTTGTTATGTAGTTGTGTGTTTGTTTATTTTCTTAGATTGTTTGTTAGAGTTTATATGTTTGTATGTTTTTATTTTGTTTATTTTTATTTGTTATTATTTCTTTAGCTTTGTATTTTATGTTTTTGTTCTTACTAGTAGCATGTCATCGTATCTTTAGTGATTGGGGTTTATAAAGGTTCTCTAATTATCATGTCTTATTTTAAGTGTTTTCTTCGCACCATATAAAATTTTATCATTATGTACAAATTTTGTAGTGTGTAGATTATATTTTTCTATATTGAGCATGTATGACTAAGTTTTTCAATTTATATCATACTATACAATGTCGTCATCATCTGTATGATTTAGTCTTTTTTGTCTATATAATTGGGGACATTTTTTCAAATGCTTAGGTATTTGTTATCATATCGTACGTATAAAATTGCATTTCATTTGTACGATCCTGTTATCAGTTTCTGTTGTGGATGAACCTAACAATCATAAAATGGTATTTAATTTTCTAATTATCCAGTACAAGTAGGTGTTTGGTTGTATAATCATTTGGTCAAAAAGCCTGTAAAAAATGATGCCTCAAGAATGGCATTTTATGAAAAGACGTTTCATTTTTGGCCATTTCTATTCATATGTATGAAATTTTTTTTCATCCCATATGATTTTAAAATTGTATGTATGATCAAAATTTTGTACTATATGATAGGTCATTTTTCATTAAATAGATGGGTCTTGGATAAGTCTTTTCTTCACATTCTTATTTATTTTCAAATCTTCTCGAGTTTAAACCTTAAGAATGGCAAGCATTAGCAAACCACTTTGCACTTCTAAGGGCTCATCCTTTCAATCTGGTAGGGATGACAACTTCCTCTCCAAGGAAAAGTAGGAATCTTTTGATAGGTATTTTGCAGCTAAAATAACCCCTTCGCGACTCCTCATTCAAAGGTTGCAAGCATAGAATTTTAAAATTATAAGGTAATGGTCGATATTGGGAAACCTAGAGTGTGAAGGTTTGATTTTCTTGAGAGAAGGTGATTTTTCAAAAAATATTTTTTTGGCGGTCAAGAGGAGGAGATTGATGGAGGCGGATGATCGCCGGCAATTAGCTTGTGATTATCTGAATGGATTTCATAGATATAATGTGGAAATTCAAAAATGAAATTCTCCATTGGCTTTTGGAATTGGATTCGTCCTAAGGGCAGGAGGAAGGGTCACTCCGTTTGCTAAGCCTTTGATGATCAATGAAGGAGGGAGGACAGAAACAAAACCTTTACCTGTTGCAGGCAAAGGTAAATTAATTGTATTCGCTGAAGAACCAAAGTTGATCAATTCAATAAATTCGTTCCGACTATGTCGACGGAAGCAAAGGATATTGGAACAGAAGATGCTGAAATTTAGGAGGGAATAGATAGAATCAATTCAAATAAAAATTTTGGTCAGAATCAAAGTTATGTTGAGGTGAATGATTTGAACGCAGTTCGTATGTGTGATTCGGCTATTAGAGGCCCTGGCCTTTTTAGTTATGAAGAAGCTGGTTCATCTAAGGAACAATCTGGTAACAATCTGATGAATGCTTGGTTAAAGAAATCTCATAAAAGGATTTCTGATTCTGACTGGAACTTTGGAAGTTGTTTTTCTGAAGATGGTTAAACGGTTCAGTTTTATGAAGAAAAGGTGCTGGAAAATACAACATAACCTTACAGAAGGCCTTGGTGGTTAAAGCTTTTGGAGAGAATTTCTCTTCATTTATGGTTAATGTTGAACTGAGGAGACAATGGCTGCATTTGGGTAAATTTAAGATGACTTGGCTTGGAAATGGATGGTGCTTATGCTTATTTGAAGAGGAGGAAGCAGTGGAATTGGTTCTTGCCAATGGTCCCTGGTACGTGAAGGGCAATATTATAGGAGTGGATAGATGGAGCCAATCCTTCTCTCCCAATTCGTTGAAAGGTCTGACTGCACCAGTTTGGGTAAGAATGCAAAACTTACCACTTCTCTATTGGGATCCTATAAATGTTTTTAGGATTACCTCAAAGGTTGGTAAACCTTATTTGCTTGATGAGAATATGTTTCAATGGGGGAAACGTGAGTTTACAAGGATATGCGTTCACATAAAACTTGAAGAACCTATTCCGCTTGGAGTTTGCGTAGATAGAAGTTCTGGTAAATTTTATCAAAAAATTGAATATGAGAAGGTGCCTAATATTTGTTTTGGTTGTGGTAGAATTGGACATGACCAAACTAATTTCCATGAGAAGGTTGATGTAAAGACATCATCTAGGAGTTTCGATGCGCATGAACAAATTGTGAAGGAATAATATAGTATTCCAGTCAAAAATAAAGTGGTTGAGGCTTGCACAGGTGGTGACAGTGGATATGGACCCTAGATCCATGTCAGATATGGAAGGAAGAATTCTGGTGGGAGTGTTTATGGAAGGAAGAATTTTGTAGCAGAAAAGACGTCAAACAAGTTCAATTTGAATCAGGGGAACAAGCAAGTATTCGGGAAGAAGTTTGAAGACAATGATGGAAAATTGGAAGCAAATAAGCTATTGGTTCCTGATGTTTCAGATCAGGACAATGTAATGGTCCTAGAAAATGTTGAACCTGGGGAAATTATTATAGTCCAAGACATTCCAAATTCTAATAAATTCTCTGCACTATCTAACCTGGTGGAAGAAGATGGTTTGCAAATGGTTAACACTGTTAAACCTGGAACAGAGAATGGTGAAGGAAATGGTGAAACAAAGTTTATCCAGCAAGTTTTTGGTTCAAAGTTGAATAAAAAAGCCGGTTCTCCTAAGAACAGGGATTGTGATAAGAATGTAGAATTCAGTGAAGCTGGTTCTGCAAACATCAAAATTAAACTTACCAAAGAACTCAAGAGTCTTGGCCCAGTTAAGCTATTACCAAGAGGTAGGAAAGTGGAAAATGATATGAAGGAAAAGAAGGGAAGCTCTTCCCTTTTTGTCCCTAAAATGGCCTCAATTATGTTTTGGAATTGTAGTGGAGCCAAGAAAAAAGAGGCTTCTCTATATTTGAGGGAGATGGTGAAAGAGAATAATGTGTTTTTTGTGGGGATTTTGGAAACCAAAGTATCTAATTTCAGTGATACTGATATTTCTAGCCTAATTGGGGAAGAATGGGGATTTTTTCAAGTCCCTGTTATTGGCTTATCTGGTGGAATATTAATATTATGGAAGTTCAGGGTAGCTTCTTTTAATTGCTTATTTTCTTCTAATCAAGCTATCATTGGTGATCTTGAAGTCTTGAAGATGGGGAGATGGATAGTTTCCATGGTTTATGGTGGTAGAGAAGTGGTCCATAGAAGAATTCTATGAGATAATTTGGAAGAGTTTTGCTCTAATGGCAATCATGTAGTTGTTCGGGGTGATTTGAACTGCATTTTGGCAAGTGATGATAAAAGAGGTGGAAGGCCCTTTCGGTTTAATCAGGGAGCTAGAGAAATGAGCTCTTTTTTATCAAGATGTGACCTTCATAAAGTCAATATTGTTGGACCAAGACTCACTTGGTGTAACAACAAAAATGGCAATGCTAGAATCTTGGACAGGGTGGATAGATGCTATGTGAATCCAGTAGCTTTGGAGTTCAATCGAATGTTGGTGAGGCATTTGACAGGAGTTGCTTCATACCATTGTCCAATCATTTTCAACTTTATGTATGTTAATTTTGCATCTGATAAAATTATCAGATTTGAGGAGGTTTGAGCCTCGTATCCAACATCAATTGGATTAGTTAAAGTGGCTTGGTCTAAGAAGACTTATGGAGATGATGCTCAGGTGTTAAATATGAAATTCCAGAGAATAATGAAGGCTCTGTTCTATTGGAGTATAGAAAAATTTAAATAGTTTGAGCAGCAAAAAAATAATCTGAAGGCCAAAATTTTGGAATTATAGTCTAAGGAGGCAGAGATGGGATGGCTGACTGAGGAGGAAGTCTTTATGCTTCATTCTCATATTGGGAATTTGAACACTATTTTGGCAAGGATGAACACCTGGTGGAAACAAAGGGCCAAGATAAGGTGGTTGAAGGGAATTGACACCAATACCAGTTTTTTTCACTCATTTGCTTCAGTAAGGAAGAACTCAAATTGCATTTATAAAATTACTAATGAAGAAGGAACTGTTATTTGGGATCAGAAGCTTATTTCAGAAGTTTTTTGAAAATTTTTAACAGCAAATGGAAGAGAAAGGAGGGAATTCTGGATGGTTGGCCTTGCCCCAGTAGTATGATTGAAGAAGGAGACAGAAGAAGTTTAACCCGTAACCTTGCAATGGAAGAGGAAAATGTAGTGTTTCATACAAACGAAAGCATGGCACCTGGGAACGATGGAATCACTTATTCCTTCATGAAGCATTATTGGAATATAATCAAGCATGATTATTGGAATGCAGTTAATCAGTTCTTTAATGAAGGAAGAATGAATGGTGAATGCAATGAGATTTTATTTGTTCTCATTCCAAAAATAGTGGTTCCCTCCTTACCGAACCATTATAGACTTATAAGCTTATGTAGGTCTATTTATAAGGTCATAGCTAAAATTCTATTGAATAGAATGAAGACCATGATGCATAAAGTTGTGATGATGGAACAAGCCGCTTTTATCAATGGAAGAGCTATGGGAGATCATATTCTTTTGGCTCAAGAGATTTTCCAAAAGTTTAAAACCTCTAAATCTTTAAAGGTTTGGTTGCCTTTAAAGTAGATTTGGAACAAGCCTATGATAGCATGAGTTGGAATACTCTTGAGGGTGTTCTAAAGTACTTTGGATTTCCGGAGATCTTTTCTAGATGGGTCATGGAATGTGTTGAATTTCCTAAATTCTCGTTTCTCATTAATAGTAGTATGTCTAATTGGATGCATGCGAAGAGTGGATTTAGACAAGGGTGTCCTCTATCACCCTATCTATTCATTCTATGTGCTCAGCTTTTCACTAATCGATTCAAGCTTAATAAGTCTACTACAGTAATCCAAATTGGGAGGAATTTGCCAAAGATTTCACACCTGTTATATGTTGATGACATCTTAATTTTCTCTCATGCTAGTCTTAAAGAAGTTAGAGAAGTCAAAGACTCAATTTTAGATTTTTGCTGCTGGACAGGGCAGAGAATAAATACTGAAAAAATGGTAATGGTTTTTTGGTAAATTTGTTCAAAGAAGGAGAAGAAAAGCTGTTGAAAGAGTCATGGGCTTTAAACTTGTCAAAGAATACCTGTATCTAGGAGTTAAATTGACATTGAGGAATTAAAAGCAGCTGATTTTTATTTCATTTTGGAGGAAGCCATGATGCTCACAGCGGTGTGGGGGAGCAAACTTCTTTCTTTTGCAGGTAAAATGCTATTGATCAAAACTACGCTGCTTTCCATCTCAAACTTCTATTGCACCTATTCATTAGTTCCTAAAAGTGCTATGAAAGAAACTGAAAAAATTTGCCGCCATTTAATCTGGAATAAACAAGATGGGGAGTATGGTTTGCATTATGTTAGCTGGAACAAATTGTGTAAACTAATGGATCAAGGAGGAAGGGGCATCAGATCTTGTGTGGTTAGTGTGAATGCTTTAAGAGCTAAGTTAGCTTGGAGAGTTATCCAAGATGAAGAGTCTTTATTATTTAAAATGTTAAATCAAAAATATGCGAAATGGCGGGATGAATCTAAGAATGCTGCTTCTACTTCCTCTACTGGAAAGATTTTATCCAGTGGAAAAAAGGCGTTAAAATCTGTTGTAAAGCGGGAAGTCACAAATGGGAGTTCTATCAACATCTTGGAGGATATCTAGGTCCTGGACAAGAAACTTTGCTCATGGCCTACATTTATTTCAGTTCAAAATGTAGAGGAAGATACGGTGCACTATTTAATTACAAATGGAGAATGGAATGTTAAGAAACTAAAACATTGCTTTGGAGAGAAACTCTTTAAAGTAATTATGAAGATTGAGATTCATATGGATCGTGATAGGGACAAACTTGAGCTAATCCATCAGCTTATGGGTCATTCAATTTCCTCACAAATTTATAGAAATTTTAGGATGCAGGAATTCTCTTGTAAAAAAGCAAAATTAAGCCCAAGAGTTGAAATATTTTGGTGGAGGTTTTTTTACAATGCCTTACCAACTTATGAATTCTTGTTTCAGAGAAGAATTCAGGAATATTTTTGTTGTCCAAGGGGATGTGGTATCACTGAAAATGTTGATCACATTTCATACTGCTGTAATAAACTAAAGGAAGTGATTTAAAACTTGACCAAATGTGGATTTCAATTCATAGAATTTGATTCATTTCAATCCTGTTGGAGGTGGATGGAAGAATTTCATAGCAAACAAGGATTCTTGGTGAATGTTTACTACAATGCAGTATATGTTACATGGAATTCCAGAAATAAATTTATACATGGAAAATCTGAAGATAGTTCAGTACTCTTGGCTTCTTATGATGTAAGTATGGCCTCCATTTCTTTTATGGCTCATGGCAAAATGGGAAATTGGGGTATGTATCGGTCATCTAAACTGTCTAATACTTGGTACCCCTCTCCTCCCAATTGGGTTAAAATCAATGTTGATGCTTCATTATTAAGAAATTACAAAGCTGAGATAGGTGCAGTTGTCTGTGATAGTAAAGGAAGAATGATTCTAGCTTATGGCCAGTCCTATATGCATTGGGACATTGGTACTCTTGAGCTTTTTTCGATCAAGTTCATAAGAGAAATCAAGAAGGATTGGTTGTAGGATTATCAAGGAATTATTATAGAAGGAGATAACTACAATGTTATCAAATTTTTGCAAGGCTTGGAAGGTATGTGGAAAGATGAGCTTTTACTTTTCAAAGATCATAAATTTATTTTTTTTAATTGGGTAAATAGAGATTGTAATAAGTTAGCTAATCTTTTTCCTAACTATGGCATTTTCAATAATTTCTGTTGGGAGGATTTATCCTCTAATAAGATTCCTTCCTTATTTACCGAACTATTAAGGGAGGAATCTATAGTTTCTTCTTCTTTTTAGTTTTTATTGGTTAATAATAGCTAGCCATGTGCTTCTTCAAAAAAAAAAAAAAGACTCCTCATTCAAAGTGATATCAACTTTTCTATCATGACCCTATTTGCCTCAACCTAGTTTTCTATTATACTTACCCAAATTTACACCTACCATATTGAAACTTTTTAAATAATTATTGCAAACAAGAAGGTAAACAAAGATCAAAATAGGATTACCTCTTTCATCTTTAAGCAGTGTGTTGAAATCATCAAGGAAGACAAAGGAAACTTCCTTCACCATAGAATCCAAGGAGTTAGAGCACACATCTTAACCTTTTGAGTAGATTTTGATTATTTAGAAATAAACTAGACTCTTAGAGGTGTTACCCAAGTAAGACATCTATCTCGTATGTACACGCTTAATCAGAATGCTAGGATCTTCTAGCATGCTTTGAGAACCTTTATAATTCCCAAAGCTAGTGATTATATTGAAAGTTCGTTAGGGATGTTAGACCCTATAGAACTGGCCCAAAGCTAATTAAAAGAGAGAGGTGTATTGGATAACTTTAAAACTAAAGATAAAACTCTAACCAAAATCACCACAAACAAAGTGCGAAATAAAAATAAATGCGAAAGTGATAATAAGAAAAGAACACACCAGATTTATAGTGGTTCGGTCAAACCTTGACCTACGTCCTCTCCTTGGAGGCACCCTCCAAGTATTCAACTAAAACAAGTGTCTCTCCTTTAGCCCCCACAGCTAGACGGAGAAGCCCTTACAAAATCACTTCAACCTTC